GTCCACAACCAGTATGACGTGGAAGCTGCTGAGTGAAACTCATGTTATTTAGATAATTTTTACTACTATCAACAACAACTGTTCAACCAACTGACAATAACTGTGTCAATTATGCTCAGCAGCTGACTGGCTTGTGAGGAAGATATTTCATATTTCATGCCAGGATTATACTGGTCTTTACACTGACATATTGGAAGAAAATCCAAGTTGAAGACATGTCTACCGATAACATAAGAAAAAAGAATAGTTATGATTGTACCATAGCTTCCTCCAGACTTCTCTGTGAGGGTGACCCCAAGAAGGGCATTTAGGAAACTACCTGTCCTTGATGGTAGTCATATAACCATAAATGAGAAGTTATGAAGGGGCTTTTGACCGAACAAAAGCCTTTGGATGACAGTGCCCCCAAAATGGGTCTTTCATTCTTGTATGTGATGGGTAGCCATTCATTCTAAGAACTGTGTTCTAAGGGAGGATGCTGTCTTGCTTACACTACGGTGCTAGTGGGGCTGCTTAATAGGGTTGAAGCATCTAACTCCATGAAAAGGAGGAAGGGATGCCAATCACCAGAGCCAAACCTACTAACATCAAGTGGAGCCTAGTGATCAACTGTTTTTTAAGCCCTTATTTTATATTTCTTAATAAATTTCACATTGTAAAATACAAATAGCATGTAACTCTCTAAAAAGGTTATTATACAGCCTTCAACACTGAAAAACTATTTGACTGCAGACACAGAGACTCTCAATATTGGATAGACATAAACATTTTCCCTTCATGTCCAAGGAAATTTGCAGCTGATTTCGGATGGCAGATTTGCGTTCTAAAACGCATTAATCTAAACGTTGTGAAAAAACAGAAGTTAGACTCAGAGAGGGCATGTCCAGACGTGTGTGAAAGTTTGGTTCTCTAGGGACAAGTAGTAGCAGTGCACCTTGCACCACTGCTACTTGTCCCTGGGAATGACCATGCCACACACGCTTTGGCGCTTGGATAGTTATCCTGAGGGTGGTAGGGTAGACTGGGGCCAGCGCTAGGCTGGTCCCAGAAGCCTTAACTGGGGTCCTGGGGGCTTTCTAGGTCTGCAGCTGTGTGGCTCCTGCTGGGCAGAGCCTGGCTGGCAGCTGCAGTGGTTTTTTTTGCAGTTTTTTTTGACCCCTGGATATCTAGCAGAAGTAAAAAACAGAGCAGCGCATGATCGGGCAGTGCACCCTTGCAATGCAGAGAATACCAGGCTGTAAAGCATGTGGCACTGCAAGCATATTTGTGGTGCCACATACCTCATGACTGTGCTCACCTGGATGTGCCCAGACTTTCCTTCAGTGTCTGTACACTTTGGAAATTGTTTTCTGGGAGGAAGTGTTTAGAGCAAAGGACTAGAAGCCCTTTCTAATTTTGTGCACTGACACTGAACTCAGTTAAATCACCTAAACTCTGTGGGCATTTATAGACATGCTCCAGGAGGTGGGGGTGGGGTATGCTAATTACAAGTGCCCAGAATGTCACGCGTATCAGCATCCCCACTGTGAAAAATGGTGGTGGGGTGCTTTGAACTAATGCTTGTCAAACTTGATTAATCTGCTGGAGCTGGTGATAATTACTAGGTCTGTGCGAAATTTCAGCAGCTGTTTTGTCTCGGAGGTATTTTGGCCTATTTTGGCACCTGAAACACTGAATCTGAAATGAAATGGAAGGCTCTGAAACATCTCTGAAATGAAATGAAAACATCTGAAACGTTTCAGAAAATTTCAGAGTTTTGGAGCTGGGCTTGCAGGGAAACAGAAACTAAGAAGAGGGAGGGGGAAGAGGGGTGGAAGGACTGCTCTGATATTGACATCTATAGCTGGCCAGTGTCTGTGATCTGTCCCTGAGGTCCCTTCCAGTTCCAGTGATCTGGGGGAGGGACAGCAGCTTGCTGTCATCCCACATGCAGATCAGGGGGGCCGCACCCCCCAGGAGGGCTGCGGAGCTGTGCTGGACTCATCCTGGGGGGTGTGGGCCCCCAGATCTGCGTGTGGGATGACAGCAGGCTGCTGCTGGCTGGGGCCAGCGCCGGCACCCAAGTCTGCTTGGCGCACCACACACTGAGTGCCAGGAAGACTGGTGCTGCCGCTGGCCACAGCCAGCAGCACCAGCCTGCTGTCATCTGCATGCTCCAGCTGCTGTCTGGGAGTTTGGTTTTTTTTAAAGCCCTGCAGTCACCAGCTGCAGCAGGCAGGCATAGCTGGAAGAGCTGCAGGAGAAGCCCCCATGTCTGCCCTGCCTCATCCTGCACTCACTAGCTGCAGCAGCATTGATCAGGGCCTCCAAGGGCTCATGGGAGAGGCCCCTGATGCAGTGCGGGGCATGGAGGGCAGGGGGGATTGCATCCCTCCATGTGGCACCCACGTGGCAGTTGTTGCATTATGTGGGTTCAGGGTGGCTTGGCAGGATGTCACACCTTGTCCCAGAGCTGGGGCAGCTCCAGCAGTCACCCAGAGCCCAGCAGTGCTCAGTGCAAGTGGCCCCAGCTCCCAGACAGCACACAGCACCTTGCTGAGCTACTCTGCACCTGCACCATGGGGCAGCTGCCACATGGGTGCCACAAGTGCTCAGAGGCCCCAATCACCACTCCTGCAGCCAGTGAGTGCAGGGCTTAAAAAAAAAAAAAAAGCTCCCGAAAAGTGCACCGAGCACGTGACTGACAGCAGGCTGGTGCTGTCAGCTGTGATCAGTCTTCCTAGTGCTTGGTGCAGGGTGTGCCAAGTGGACTTGGGTGCTGGTGCTGGCCCCAGCCAGCAGCAGCAGCCTGCTGTCATCCCATATGCAGATCTGGGGGCGCGTGCCCCCTGGGATGAGTCTGGCACAGCCCTGCAGCCCTCCTGGGGGGTGCAGCCCCCTGATTTGCATGTGGGATGACAGCAGGCTGCTGTCCCTCCCCCAGAGCACTGGGATTGGAAGGGACCTCAGGGACAGATTGCAGACACTGGCCAGCTATAGATGTCAATATCAGAGCAGTCCTTCCACCCCTCTTCCCCGTCCCTCTTCTTAGTTTCACAGCATGTGGAGCATGCAGATGGCAGCAGGATGCCATTGCTGGCTGGGCCAGTGGCAGCACCAGTCTTTCTGTGCTGGCACTGGTCCCAGCCCTCAGGGGCAGCCTGTTGTCATCCTGCATGCAAATCCAGGGGCCCGCAGCCCCTGGGAGGAGTCTGGCACAGACCCGCAGCTCTCCCAGGGGACACAGTCCCTGGATCTGCATGTGGGATGACAGCAGGCTGCCATTGCTGGCAATTGATGAGAGTTTTGCTTTGAACAGTTTGAGGTACATTTTCACAAAAGCGCCTGTACCTATCTCCTTGAAGCATAGCAAGATTCATGCCTTCAGAAGGGGGTACCATCCCTGCAATTTTTTTCTAAACCAGGCATGACAAACTTAGAGGCATTTTAGTGATTCCCCATTATAGCCTACGGCCAGAACACCAAAACAGCATCGGAACTCTGAAACAGATTCAGCCAAATTGAAACGGGACAGCAATCCAAAACACCGAAATGAACAACTGTCCCTCCAAAATGCTGAATCCAAAACCGAAACGTAACATAGCTGTTTTGCACAGCCCCAGAAGACTCGATTATTCTGCTGGAGCTGGTGATTAACCAAGTCTGCTCTGATGCGCTGGAGTTAGTTTGTTGGAGCAGCCTCCCTGCATATGTATAGGATCCCTGTAAGCCTTAGTTATACCATCAGTAAAGTGGGGATTTTCCACACTATGTATTGGATGGTTGCTAATATTTATTCACTTCTCTTGTGGGGATTTATGAGGATTGACAAATTTTTAATATACTGAGATCCTCAGCTGTAAGGAAAAATAGCAGTACAAAGTACAACACTACTGTCTTTCTGAGATAGTAATGCTATGATGAGATAACAATCAGTAACTGAGGAAAACTGTTATCTACATCAATAGTCCTTGTTCTAATTAATATCATGAATGGTTTCTTATGTACATATTTATAGTTGTAGGAAACGTTTTCCAAAGAGATCAATACCATGTTCTTTATGTGTAGATACATGAGGCATTAAATTATAACTAGGAGAGCTTTAGTAATGGAACTGCTAATGGCAGTTCCATTTCATAATGGAATTAATGCTATTCTCTGCAGCTCCTGAAGGCAGGAAGTTTTCAATATTTTATAGGCAGTATGCAGAAGAGAGATTGGAATAAATTATGATACTTTGGTGAAGTGCTGGTCTCAAAGCACTGGAACTCTTGTGTTAATCCTTCTATACCCAGCAGCTGTCAGTCCAAATACCAGCCCTGCTGGCCAGACAGATTTTGTAAATTACAATGCTGTCAGTAACTGCCTATCACTAAATATGCTTTAAAGATGGATTTGTTTGTATTGGGAACACAAGCAAGTAATGGTGACATACTGCTGAGCAATGCAAGGGAGAGGTTGAGATACCAAGCTGCAGTTCATTAATCTTTGGAACCTAAATATTACAACAAGTGGGAACATCTCACACACTTAATATGAAATGAAAAATCACCACCTTCTACATATTACTCCCATCTGCACTGTAGTAGGCATAATGAGTTACAGTGACCCTATTCTGTGATACCAAGTGTTCCTCTACAGAAAGAAGGTGGTTCCATCCTTATAGGCTGCATGGACGTAAGAAAGTTTTTCCTGTTGCCTAGAAATACATTTTTATACTGATTCACTCATTTCATTAACACTGAACACAGGTACCAGAACAGTGAGCGAGTGAGAGAGGTACATAATTATTTCTATTTGTGTTACAGCTCATGCCATTTCTTTCAAGTTACATCCTTTAAGTGAAGGAACACTTATATGGGCTGTAGAATAAGGTAAGCATGTTTCAGCATTTTCTATACAATTCCCTTTTCTAGGCATTTATGAATTCTTGGTATCTGTCTGCTTTTTCAAGTGCCCTACTTTACACAATATGCTTAACATGATCCTTATATTTGTAGAACAACTTGATTAGCGCTTACTGTTTCCTTCTGCATTCGATGGCTCTATCTATCCTGAACTCAGGTAAACTGATGAATCCTTCTGCTTTTTCATCCTGTGAGAACAGAAGAGGAAGTGCTGGTGAGGAAGAATGTACAGCTGAGAAAGAGACAGAGATAAGAACTGGTCTTATGGTTAAAAACCAGGGCAAGTACTAGTAGTCAAAATAAGGAACACATTACTTAAACATGCACTGCTGAGTTTTTATAGAAGTGGCTGAACTGTCAGTTTCCAAAATGAGCTACAGTAATGCCAGTCTATTAAAGACAATGTGAAGATTATTTCCAACTGTATGCAAAGTATTTGAACAAATAATAGCTGTACAGAGAGATTCTTGGTTTTCTCAATGTTGATTACATCTTCACAAAAATGTTTTGTGGACACCTTTCCCATTTATGACTGGGTAGACCACCTGTCTTCCTAAGGGTGACTAAGATATTGGAAAAGTAAAATTAAGAAAGCATGTCATGTACTTTTTTATGTAACATGATTTAACAGGAGGAACACAAGAGGGCCTGTGTCAGCCAGTTTTCTGAAGATTGCAAATAAACACTCTGTAGATCATCAGTGATTCATGGCTTTGAAATCAATAAAGGGTACCACATTTCCATACATGTTAATAAGCAAACATCCACACAACACAAACATATACTCCGAATCTGTTTTATTACACTCGGGTCTCTCTTTATGCAAATTTGTTTTGTGCAAATTAGCTTATAGGCAGCGACCTTATTTATACCAGAAATTTGCGTTGTGCAAGAAAAATCTGATCTTATGCAAAGTCGGCCAGCAATGAGCTCCCAGCAGACTGGCACAGTTCCAGCCTGCAGGGAGCTGGGAGGAAGCGGAAGGAAGGCAGTGAGACAGGGGACGCCACATGCATGCATAGTACATGCACGTGGCCCCAACTAGCCTCGAGGGCAGCTCTGGCTTGTAAGTGGTGGGGAAGAGGAGAATTGAGGCCCCTGTAGGAAGGGAGCTGGGCAGGGCTGGGGCTTCTGTTCAGCCGGGGGGTGCTTGGGGCCTGGGGCCGCAGTGTGCAGCTGCAGGGCCCCAGTGGGGACCAGGATGGACCCTCTGGTGGCTCATTGGGGGAGGGCTGGCTGCACACTGCCGTGCACACTTCCAAGGGGAAGGGGTGGACGCACAGGCACAGTGCGCCCTGGCAACAATCCTGCATCTGGCTCAGCTTTTCTTCCTGCCTGGTTCCAGAGCCCCGTACCCCACTGCCCTGGCCACGCAACTTCTGGGGCACGGGGCTGCGCCCCTCAAAGAGCAGGAGGCAAAGGAGGCGTGTCCCCAGGGCAGTGCAGGATGAGGAACCACCATTTCCTGCTGCCCTGTTTCCCTGCCCCATGTGCCTCTCCTGCCCAGTGGCTGTGACCCGGCATGGCCGGAAACAACGGGCTACAAGCTCCCTGTGGAGGCACCCAGGGCAGGGAAGCAGGGAACAGTGGGGCCACACACAGAAGGTCTCGCCCAGCAGGAGTGTCACCACTCAGGGAAGGGAAGCAGGGTGAAGCCAGGAGCAGTGAGCAGCTGGCATTCCCTGCTGCTCTGCTTCCCTCCCCCGGGTGCCTCTCCAGTCTGCCCCATGCTGCCCTGGCAATGCACCCCCTGCACGTGCTGCTGCTTGCAGCGTGGAGCTCGTAGCCTCTCCACGCAGCAGTTATTGTATTGTGTGATTACTGTTCAAATATGTCATGGTTTGTGGGGGCAGTAGAGTGAGGCTGGTATGTATCCCTATTAATTACATGTAATAATGCTTTTGCTTTATATTAATTTGCTTTATGCAAGGTTTTTTGAAACGCAACCCTCGCATAAAGAGAGACCTGAGTGTATTCAATATACGTAACCAGACAACCCAATTTTGGGTAGCATGTAAAAGATTTGAAAGAACTTAACTAATGATGCTTATAAAATTGCCCACCTCTTAAAATACAAAACGCACACTAAATTGTTGGTAATCAAATCAGGCTATGTTGTGTTGTATAGATAATACAGTTAAAGCTTTGCTATTAGAAGAAAAGTAGCATTACGCACTTTGCTTATTTTATTCTTTGCTTTTATCTATGCAGTTTTTCTGCTTGCATTAATGGAGTTTTAGTGGTTAACACTGTGGCATTTAAAATGAAATGCCATGAAGTGAAATGTCATCGAGAATGGGTTTTTTTTGCAAATGACATGCTCAAACTCCAGACTAATACTGCAGTATCGGCATTTTGAAAATTAACCCTCCAAGCCTCAGATCAAGAGCTCTAAAGAGCTGTGCTTTCACATCTGGTTTGCTGCTTAAAATAAAGAAATGAACCAGTTCACATTTATGGTTGAATTTCCTCATACTATTTAATATAAGGAGTGACAACAAAAGAGAAACAAATTCTGCTATCCTAAGTTATATCAAGCATGGAAAAAGAAATATTATTTATTACTGACACTTGTAATTCACAAAGAATGCCATGTAACTTTTGCTATTTTATTATACTGCATAAGGCTTGCGCACAGTTTATTGAATATGTCAACAAGAATTACTGTAACTGATTTTTCCCTGCCATGTATTGCTGCCTTACTTCCAAGCAGAAATATAAAAATAATCTATGTGCAAATCATTAATTGGTAAAAGATAGCATAGAACATAAGGACTTAAGAAATGTCATACTAGGACAGACCACAGGTCCTGCTAGCTCAGTATCCTCTATCACAAAATGACAAAGAACACATTCTAAGAAGAATATTTATGCAGGGCCTATTCAGACTGATTTGTCCCTTGCTCCTCTTGCTTACAGATTCCACCACCTAGAAGCCTAGGAAGTCCTATTTAGCACTCATGGCCATGTGTAGATGAAATGAGGGGTGTGTGTGCACAATACTTTAAAGTGGGCTAAATGCTTTTGCACCACTTTAATGGTGTCAGTGTTTGCATGCCTGAGTGGCATATTGCGCATTAATTCCAACCACCGTAGGAAATTCGGCAGTATAATGCACCCTAAACGACTTGGGGTGCAGCAAACTAAAACTCCTCAGCAAACTAAAACTCCGAGAAGTTTTAGTTTGCTGTGTCTACAGCCACGGAGTGAAGCACCGGGCTTCAAGCAGCTCTGTGGCTCTGCAGGAAGCCCTGCAGGCAGCCAGGTAGGGCTCTGCAAAGCTTCAAATCATGATTCGGATTCGGAGATGATTTGAATGATTTGGAGGCCATATCAAATCACTAGAAGCTTTAGGCTTTCCGAATTGATTCGGAGCTTCCGAATCGATTCTGAAAATATTCAGCAGTTTGGAGATTTGGCCATAGGGTATAATGGGGAATCAATGAAATATCTATAACTTCGTTGTTTTTTGGCTGATTTAGTTGAAGCTTGCAGGGCTTGTAGCCTCTGCTGAGGGCACAAAGCCTGAGAAGTTTCAAGGTGATAGGTGCAGGGGTTTCTGGGAAACTGCACCTCAAACTGCTGAGAAGCAAAACTCATGACATAGGTGACACTGTGTGTGTGTTAAGGCACAGGGGGTTGAAAACTGCAGGCCTGCTAGGGCCTGCTGCGGCCACAATGCCTGCCAGCTGTAAAGGAGATAGGTGCAGGGGGAGTCTGGGTTCTGGGCCCCTGCACCTCTGGCCGTAGCAGGCAAAACTCATGACATGGGTGCTTGTGGGACTGTGTGTGTGTTCAGGTGTGCCCTTCCTGGTGCTGGGGCTTCTGCACAACACGGCAGTGTGCCTCTGTCAGGCCTCCTCCTCCCCTACAGCTTTGGACTGGTCCACCACTGTAAACAACGGCAGGTCAAAATAACTTAGCTGGCTCAACACCAATAGCAACAGCAGCATCGAATGTAGCCAAACGGAAATGTTACAGAGCCTTTATTTTTATAAAGGAATTGACAGCAAGAAGTAAAGATGTTATGTTGGATATATGTTCCTCATGGTGTGTGATGGCTTATCTTGTGTTTTATGTTTATATGTTTATTATGAAAAAAACCAGAAAGAGTTAGAAAAATATATCTTAGGAAGATTTTGGGTTGAAACACCCTTTGTCAGGCTGAGGAAGTACGTGCAGTTGGTGTGTCTCCTGATCCTGGATGGAAGGAATAGTAAAGAAGCCAGAGGATAGCCTGGCATGCAATGCAGGCAAGAAAGCCAGTCAGTGGAAATGGAAATGGAGGCGTCATGGGGTGAGGGACAGGCTGAGGTGGAGCGGTGGGGTGAAGGGGGATGTAGCAGCGCAGGTATTGTGAGAGATAGTAAACAGTAAATCCCTATTTACTTTCTTATTTACACGGCTACAACCCAAACCCCTATTTACTTTCTTTACGTTAGTCATTACTTTATGAATCATGATCATATCCTGCCAAAGTCACCCTTTCATCCTAGTGCAGGGGTGTCAAACATACAACCTGCAGGCTGGATATGAATAGTGGAGCCCTATGATCTGGCCTGTGAGTCTTGGATCGACTCCATGAGTGACATATAGCACAGGGGTGGGGTTGGGTTGGGTTGGGGGCATGTGCTGCATGTATACTGGCTCTGGAGCTGGGTCAAATCAGGCCCCAGTCTGTCCATGGGCACTGCAGCAAGTGCACAGGACCAATCTAGAGGAACATTTCATGCAGCACATGCCCCATGCTGGCCTGGGCTCCATGTACTGCATGCAGCCATTCCAGCCCTGCACATCACATGCAGCATGCTCTGCACATGGTGGATGGGACTGGCAGGGCACCCCATGCAGTACATGTCCCTTGTACCATGTACAGACCAAATCCTGGAGCAAGGACAGCATTCACTGCATACAGCACAGGGGTCCAGCTCGGGGTACAGGCTGAATGCAGTGCTCTGCTGGACTGACCCTATGCTTTGGCTCCAGTGTGGCCTGATCTGGCCCACAGACTGGTCTAACAACCCTCATCTTGACACCCCATCCTAGCTTATTTAGTGTCTCCTTGTATGGAAGTCTCTCCATGTCCTAATCATCTTTGCTGCTCTTCTTTGTACCTTTTCTAATTCTACTGTACTTTTCTGAGGGGAAGTGAGGGCAAACCTGCATGCAATATTCCTTTATTTCAGAAGTTACAAAGCTAATTTTGGCATTTTCAAAGCATACTTACATTCTGGTTTGTGTACCAGTATAGTGAAGAATCCTTCAGAATAAACCAGTATTTTTTCCATTTTTGTGTAAAGTAACCTTTGGCATCTTTTTTCTTCCACAGCCAGCCCTCACAATCTCCATGCCCCAGATCTTTGCAGGAAATCCGTCTCCTACTCCCACTGGTCAGAGAACTTCCTGTGAATGAGAAGATACTGTTAAAGACCTCAGACCCTGAGAGCGCCTATTTCTGTAAATGTAAATACATTATTTTTTTAACTAGTGATAGTCAAAATTGAAGCTTTCAAATGGAATCCTTTCCAATTTCAGCTGGGCATTAGGGAAGGGGTCACTTAGAGTACAATTTCTGAATCACAAAATGTCTTGTGATTTTGGTTTCAAGACAGTTTCTATTTTTTGTTTAGACAGAAGAAAATCTGCATCAGATTATTTTATCTCAGTAGAGTTCTGCTCCTGGTGGCCAAAATCTCAAATACTTAATTTATGATATTTTGGAACCATCAATTAGCCATCAAACCAAAAACTTCACTGTGATTTGTCCTTTAATCTGAACCTTGATAGTGGCATAAGATTACAATAAATCTCTACCCAAGCAATACATCAGTAAATTTTTATTTCTTTCTTTTAGCAAGCTCCAAAACTGTTAAGTTCTGGTAAAGAAGTGTATTTATTTTTTCAGTAACAAGGAAACATCAATAATTCTGATCTGTAAGAATGGAGAAATACATTCACCCATGCTACTGTACTCTGAATTTAATTAATCAACAATATTTTAGCACTACTAAATTCCATTAAATGAATGGTAATAGAGAAAGACTTTGTTTTCATTAATTCAACTTGCCCTACTTGATTACCTTGAAATTTCACTGTCTTCTGGACACTAGTAAGAACAGATTTTTCTCCTAACTTTCATATAATTTTTCCATAAAGCCTAAGGCAAATTTAATTAAAACATTAGATGTTCTACTGTGAAAAATCAAGTTTACATTGCCACATTAATTACATTGGTCCTAAAGCTATGATGAAGTATAAGTTTAGATCACATTAAATGACCATCTTTTTTTCTGTCATACTTGATAACAAAGTTCTGACTATTTTATTCTTTTTGGAATACAATTTGGCATCCTGGTCACCTTTAGAAGCACTAAAAATGCATAGTTCAATGAAAAGAAAAGTCTTTAGGTAATGGCTCAAAAAAGCAAGTAGAATATAAAAGGGGCAGTGTGATATTCTTAAATAGGCCAAAAAAGAATAAAAGAACAGAATAGTAAGAAATGGCATAATATATACGGCAAGATTTTTCTTCCAGTGAACTTTAAAGGAAATTTTCCCATTAACTTTAATGGGATTAGACCCATACTACCTTAGTATTTAAACTAGAAACACATGAATTAGGACCAAATCTGCCAATTTATCAGTGCTGGTGTCTCAGGCACCATCCACTGCCAAACTTAATTTTATAATTTCCAAATTAACTTAAATACTTTACCTTTGGACCATTTTTTGGTTTTCACTCTCAGAGAAGCGTAGTGGAAAGACTATAAGGAAATAAAAAAGTGGTTGAGTATTAGCGCGTGAAATTAAACCAAGTTATCACACTGATATATAGTGAGTGCTTCATTAATTATTGTGTATGCCTATGATTTTCTTTTCTTTGTCATTTCAATTATGGAAAATTCTTAATATTTAATAATTATATTGTACAATATTGTTACAATAACAACATATACATTACAGTTATCAGGCAAAAAAATGTCAGTGGTATTCTGAGGTACTCAGCAATTACTATAGTGTCTGTGAGGCTATTTCAGTCTTGTTCTCCTACCACTATAAAATTAATACCCTACACAAGCAAATCAAGGCAGTATTATATTTAGAAACTAATGTATTTACTTTCAGAATTACTAGGAATAATTAGCCACATATTGCCTCATCAAATCAAGAGAAACTGTAGTTAAATAACTTCAAATACTGGGGAAAGAATTTCCTGATATTTCAGAAGTATTATATGATACAGATAAATAATATATGCACTCATTTTATGAATAATAAAATTATAGACAACTTTATACACACAGCTTTTGTATATAGAGATGTGTAAACAATCAAGTATTTATTTAAAGACAAATTTGAGTCCAAAATATTAAAAGGGGAACGTATTTTTCCTTTTCGTTTTTAAGGCCACATCAATGAGAACTTGTACACGAGTTCTCTAATAATATTCTTGCCATGCCTTGCTGCATCAGTGAAATAATACTGAAAATTTAGTAACAGAATGCAATTTTATTTTTTTAGCTTTAATAACTCCCATTCTTTGGTAAGTGGAAAATAAATATACAGGTGATCCCTATAGCAAGAAAGTCAGTCAGGGCATTTGTAGATGAAACTTTAAAACAGGTTTAAAGTGGGTTACATGCCTTTTACACTGCTTTAATGACATTGCTGTTTGCACATTCGGCGGTGTACTGTGTGTTAGTTCTAGCTGCTGTAGTACATTTGGTGGTGTAATGCACCTTAAATGACTTTGGGATGCAGCAAATGACTTTGGGGTGCTGCAAGGTAAAACACCACTGAGGAGTTTTAGTTTCCTACCCTACAGCTGCAGAGGGAAGCACTGGGCTCTGAGTGGCTCAGGGGCCATGCAGGCAGCCCATGCAGGCAGCCCAGCAGCAGCCTAGGAAGGCAGGCTCCACAGAAAGAAAAAAAAAGTGGTGAGCCTGATCTCCCCCACCAGAGCCTGCCTGCCTGTCTGAGCTGCGCGGGGTGCTTCCCTCTGTGGCTGCGGTGCCCCCAAGGACTGCTCAAGCCAGGTGCCTGTGGGCAGGTGCTGCTTGGGAGAGGGCGGCCACTGCCACGGAGGGAAGCACCCCCCCTTCACCCCTCCACAGCTCAGGGGCCACTTTGCCCGCCAGCAGCTCACTCTTCCCTCCCTGCTGCTGGAGAGGCAGGTATAAGGATCAGATTCTGACATGGGTGTACACAACATGGGGGTTTACTTCGCCCTAAATTGAAGCAGTGATTTTAAAAAAAACACTGCTTCAATTTAGGGAGAATTAACCCCCCGTGTTGTGTACAACTGCCCTCAGTCTCTACTTTTATATAAAGAAGCACAATTCATTTGCTGCAGAGGATTTTTCTTATTCATAGGAGTGGCACAGGGGAAAAAAAGGGCCAGTATGAAGAAGCTTCATGACTGAGGGTGCCATCATTCAAAGAGCAAAGGTAGACATTTACAGTAAAATAAACTAGTAAATCTGTTATGCAGAGCTGCACAGTGAAGGACAATCTTCTTCATGCACCTGTTTTCATGTACAATATATAGGGCATGTCCAAATGAGGTGTTTACTGTGGAGCTGACTAATTAGCTTTGCAGTAAATATCTCAGCCTCTACATGTGCACCCCTATTAGGATGCAGGAAACTAATAAACTCAGCAGCAGTATAGTACTGATGAATAATTTTTTACTCTGCAGCAGCACACATGTAGACACTGAGCAGGTTGGTCGGGGCTGCTTCAGTGCAGGGGCTGCCTGTTGGCCAGCCCCATGCTAAAGCATACTCATGCCTCAGCCAGCTCCTTCTCAGCACATGGAGCCCAGTTGAAGCAGCCCTGGGTTTGCCAGCCAGGCTCCAGGCTCTGATTGCTCCAGAGTTAATTGCTCCCAGGTGCACATTTAAATAGCATGCCCAGAAGCAAAAACTTCCAGAGCAATAAGCTCCAGAGTTTATTCATGTGCACTAATTGCATAGGTAGACATACCCACAGACTGCAAGTTCTGTGGGTCAGGAACCAGCTTTCTGTTGCTTTCATAAGTGCCTAGTCTACTGATGCCCTGATCATTGACCAGGGTTCCTAGTGTTATCAGAGTTCAAATACAAATAATATAAAATAATGTAAATGTGGGATCATCTGCCTCTAACACATAAGTATAAATATTTCATGTGTTCTAACTATAATAAATATATACTCTCCTTGAAAAGATCCATGAACAAGAAAAAAGAGGTATTTTGCTATGTTAAGCTGAAGTTAGGCTAAAGGCAGGGCAGGGTAGCACCTTACAGAGTAGTTCTTTCAGAGAGGCAATGTAGGCTTTGCTATGAAAGCTCATGCTGAATGAGTTAACCTATAAGGTGCCATCCTGCCCTGCCTTCTGCCAAAAAATAAGTTATTGTGGGTAAGCAGCAGTTTTAAAGGAAGTAGTTCATAATAAAAGTGATAGATACACTACACCAAAGAAAAAGGATATTACACATTTAATGAGCCTTATCTACACAAGTCTCTTTTTTTTCTTATTTATCAATGACCTGAGTATCAATTGGTTCAGAGGAATTGGTTCATACACTTGGGTTGTGAATGGCAAAGTGTGCTTTTGGTTGTGTGTTGTGGGGTTTTTTTGTGTGTTGTGGGGGTTTTTGTGTGTGTGTGTGTGTTTGTTTTATGTAGGCAAGATGGCCCCTGTTGTGCTGGCCATGTGCTCTGCACATGGAAAGCTGGGCCTTGTATCTGGTAAAAATATGTAAAATCCTCTGGCCTGATTGGCCAGGGGGAGCAAAGACTTTTCAGGCAGATTGGTTAAGAGAAAGACTAGAGTGTGTCACCCCTGGCTGGACAAGGCCAGGGTGATGTCATACGAGGGATATAAGTTTTTGTTTCAGCAGGCCATATAATCCAGCCCAGGAGTTTTGGGGTGCATGCATGCTGGCTGGAGCCGAAATCACCTCCTTCCCCCCAAACACACAGCCTCTCTGTGGGAGCAAAGATTGGCACACTGCCAGTTTCCCAGGAGCAATGGAGCCCTTTGCAATGCAGAAGGACCCACGCTCTTGAGCAGCTCCATGCAGTACAGTGAGCTCAAGGAGCAGCTCATAAGACTCTCTGGTGTGGGCCCCTCTCTCCAGTCCATTGCTGAAGGGCAGGTATAGGAGTGCAGGCCCCCCAGAACTACCTGTTGGGGAGTCCCAAGTCCCAGACTGCCTGGGTATAGGTGAAGCCTTCCTCAAGAGGGTGCTACCTATAGACTTTGCTTTGTAGTTAATAATTTTAAAAAATTATATTTAGTATTTACTTTTGTTTTGTTTTTATACTCTGTAATACATTGGGTTTTTGTGTTTACACTGCTTGCAAGGAGGGGATTTTGTTTATAAGGGATGCACCAGCAAATTTAGTATTCCCAGTTTTCTGGGTGCGGGGCTTGAGCCACTGGTATAATTTATGGTGCACCAAAATGTGAACCCAGCCCTTCTTGCTGCTGACTGGTGCCTGGCAGAAGGGTTACACTTATAATGTACAAGAATCCCTGTTCTCTGACTAGCTGACAGTCCTTACTGTCCAGTGTGCAGGTATCTTCATAATCCCTCTATCTGATCTCTCAGTACCTATACTCTACAATTCTCCACTCTGATTTGCTATTATAAGCCATCCACCCACATTAATTTCTGTTCTCAAAATTTTCAAGCTACTTGCGGGAAAAAGCAGACACCTCTTCAACTTTCAATTGAAACAAATCAACTCAAACTTTTACACAAAGGGAGTGGGAAAATAACTTAAAATGCAAAGAAAATGGGTCTGCAAAACTTTTGAAAGGGAACCCATTTTCTAAAAAGTTTTAAAAACAGAGACAAAATCCCACTTAAATCCTTATCTTCCTTCAAGTTGCATCCTGTTCCCACCCAAATCACTGGGGACAATGCTGTTGAGCTCTGAAGCCACAAACTTTCCTCTCTTTTCTCTTCCCACCTTACTCTACAGACAAATATAACACTTTTTGTCCATTTACACGGTTTGTCATCCCCAGTTTAATTTTGAAATGAAACTGAACAAAATATACTGCAATCTGAGAAGCAAAGAACATTGCTGAAACACACAGAGGAAAGGGCTGAGAGATCTGAGGATGATGAAATAGGGAGAATGTGGATAAATGGAGGAAAGACTAAAAAATAACAGTGATTACCAGGTGTGGCTGGTGAACTCAGACTGGTGGGGTGAGTGAAGCGGCACATGGGAGCGGTGTCGGGGGCAGCATTTGCAGCCAGCCGGGAGTAGGAGGGTTTGCAGCTTTCTTGCTCCTGGCCAACGAGCTTGGCTGGCTGCAAACCCTCCCCCACCCCCTGGCCGGCTGCAAACCCCACCCCACTCCTGGGTGATGCTTGACCCACCCCACCAGTCTGAGTCCCTAATTTTGCACTGTTGAGTGGCGTTTCTGTTATTTTTTTCTGTTATTCTGTTATTTTCTGAAGGGACCTCAGTAGGTCATTGTTTCATAGTTGGTAGGGTCGGAAGAGACATTAGCAGATCATCAAGTCTGACCCCCTGCCATCGCAGGAAAGAGTCCTGGCGTCAACGACTCCGGCAAGGTGTTCATCCAGCCTCCTCTTAAAGACCCCCAGGGTAGGAGCCAGCACCACTTCTCTTGGAAGTTGGTTCCAGATCCTAGCCATCCTGACAGTGAAGTAATGCTTCCTGATGTCTAGTCTGAATCTACCCTTTGCCAGCTTGTGGCCGTTATTTCTAGTCACTCCTGGTAGTGCTCGGGGGAACA